AAAAAAAGAGTATCTTCTTATCCAAAAAATGGTGAATGAGAATTCTTATTTCAAGAAAAGAAGTGCTAAATGTGGTAATTCAGTGACTAGCTCATAGCAGAAGCCATCAAACCAGGCTTCAGGATTAGTAATTTCCACTTTGTTCAAGTAAGTACACTAATTACCTTACATTTAATTTTAGCTCAAAGACATTTATTTAAATGCCAGGCAATAATATTAATATGAACAGAACTAACATTTGTTGAGTACCTATTATACTCTAGATATTGTCTTAAGCCCTTTGCCTGTTTTAACGTACACATTATTTCAGTTTTACAGATGGAAGAGCAGATGGTTTAAGTATTTCATCTATAGACATACACAAGTAATTCATCTAAAGCCATATTACACAGAAGATGATAGAGCCAGGAGTAAACCCCAGATGGTCTGATTCAAGACCCCATACTCTTACCACGAAGCTATACTTTCTCTTTGGGGAGAGAAAGATAGGAGTAAGACATTTCCCTTTGCCCTCAAGGAGCTTTAGTTCAGTTTTATATGAATTCTATTATTCAAAGTCATTTCAAATCACCCCAGGTTTCGGTTTTGTTCACTAACAGAGACTTCTTAATACAAGGTCAAGTCATAAAATTCAACTTTGCTGCACAAGCACATTATACTTTCACCAACAATTAAGTAGTTCCCAAGAACCGAGAAAGAAAAAGGCTATCTATACTATATAGGTAGATCCTAAATGGACTGAATACAGCACAAGTTTCCCTATCTGTGGTGGCAACAAAGGAGATTACTTCACTCTCTCATCCTTCTCCCCACTGTTCCATGTAAGATGACTGTATAGTTGTACTCACTAGTCTTAAGAAGGAAACTCAAGTGAGTTTTATCTTTACAACCCCATTCCACAGAGACAGACTTACCTTTTACCTGTGTAAGGTCAATCCCTTTCTCTGCTGCCAATTTCTTTGCAAGAGGACTAACGAACAACTTTCCCTTTGGTCCAGCAGGAGTAGTAGGGCGGGTGGCTGAAGGTGTAGGGGCTACAGGTTGGGGAGTTGGAGGAACAGGGGCCACCTTTTGAAAAAAGTTAGATTGTTAATTCACCACTGCAAAGGCTGGTCTGAAAGATAAGGAGTTTACATTTTATTAAGAAGTCAAGATATATTAAGTAACTTTTATCTTTCTCTCAAAGATCATAATGCACATTTCCCCTGCATATATTCCCCTTAATATAACAATATGAAGAGGACAATACTTTAGGTCAAAGACAGTACCAAGTTATCTCTGTGATAACATGGAGAGGCAGGAAATTTAATACTGTTATCCAGTATATAATATCTTCATAGGCTTTCTTCACTTTACTCTCTTGCTGCTTCTTATTCTCATTTTCTTACATGACCAACATGGTTTTTGTTTTCAGTTAACGTCATGTCAAACTAATAAATTATGCTGGAAGGTTGCATGTTGAAAATATCTTAATAAACCAGCACTACTACTTGCCAGCTCCCCACAAACGTAGGGCAGTAAGAAATCAAGTTTCCTTTGACAAAAATATTGTACGTAATCTAAACTCACATGATTCTAACATCTACAGAAGGCTGGTGATAATGTTATCTATGCCTGGACTTCACACAAGTACATAATAGATATATAGTATATAATGTAGAGCATATAGCAACAAGACTAAATTCTAAGCAAAACAAGCCATGTTACATCAAGGTTCTAATGTATTATAAACAGAAACCTGACCCACTATCATAAGCAAATACCAAGAGTACTGACAGTAACAAAGGTTAGTTGACCCTCCAACGACAGGAGTCTGAACTACACAGGCGCACTTACACACGGATTTTTATGGTATGGGACTGTAAATGTGTTTTCTCTCCTTTATGATTTTAATAACATCTTCTTTCTCTAGTGTGCTTTAAGAATACAGCATACAATCTATATAATATACTAAATATATGTTAATGGACTGTCTACGTTGTTGGTTAAGGCTTCTGGTCAATAGCAGGCTTAGCAGTTAAATTTGGGGGGAATCCAAAGTTATACACGGATTTGCAAGGGCGCAGTTAGTGCCCCAGTCCCTGTGTTGTTCATGAGACAACAATATATAATAAATTCTACAGAAACTGGGGAATGAAGTATTAACTTCCATATACATATCTACACCTAAAGCATAAAAAGAACATGTCATCTCAGCTTTGTTCTCAGCAGACCTCATGACAGTAGGAAAAAAGAAACAGACACAGGTCAAACAACTATTAGGTGGGCAGTGCCGTGCCACATACCTGTAGATCTCCACAAATGCTCACTATGTCCATCTTTTTTTGTTTTTCTTTTTCAGATTTTTTTTTTTTTTAAGTAATCTCTACACCCAACATGGGGCTTGGATTCACAACCCCAAGATCAAGTCACGCGCTCCTCCAACTGAGCCAGCCAGGTGCCCCTAACTATCTCCTTCTTTATTCGTAGAGTCTTAGGGCGGGAAGGAACCTAGGATATTATCCAGTCTAATCCCTTAATTTAGAGATGAACAAGGTAATGTTTCCTCGATTCTAGAAGCATACATACCGGGGGTGGAGGAGATGGTGGTGCTTGTGGTTTTAAATCAGTTACTTCAGTTGGCCTATAGTCAGCAAATGCTGGTATATCTTCCTCTTTTTCTACAATGATACAGAGTGGGGTTCCTAGAGGGACATCTCTTGTGCCTTCAGGGATCAGGATTTTTGCCAGGTAACCCTCTTCCTGTACTTCAAAACCTTGAATAGAAAGAAAAACCATTATGGAACTTAAGGGACTCCACTATCTCACCAAACTCAAAGCAGTTTTAAGTAAAAAGCTCTTCTCCTTCAAGCAAGCTACCCAACCTTTGGTGAGCTACTCTACCTCTCTATGTCACAGCTCCTTCAACTACAAAATGGGGTAACAATAATACCTACCTCACAGGGACGTTATAAGAATTAATATTTTCCAAGAACCTAGAAACAGTACCTGGTACAAAGTAAATACTAAATAAATAGCTGTTAAATAACACTATGAGAGATTACAGACAGTAGTTAATTCTGAATATTTTCCTAAAACATCTCTAAGAGAAGCCCCTACACAGACCCATAAGACCCCAAGCTGGCATCAACTGTACCAGTATGACATCAGCTGTACTGCTAAAAATAAGAACCACATGGATGTTAAATTAAGGAAACTACTAGGTTTGACAGTGATGTGGGATAAATTATGCCCGTAAAAGCACCTTTGGAGTTTTTCAAAGAGGTTATATTGGGTATTCAACTATTCCAATGTAAAGAATATGGTACTACTAGGGTTTCTAAGGAATTTACAACTTAACATTTTATTCAGCTACTGCTCTTGGAAAAAACTCCAATGTGAAGTGTTTCAAAAGTAAAACTAAAAGAAGCCATCGCAGAGAACAATTTTTGCCTTGCAGATCTGGGCTTTCTGTTGTGTTGTGCCTCTCCCTGATGAACACATCTTTGACGAATCTTTCCCTTCTCCAGTTAAGCATTAATATCCAATAAGAGATTTAAAAAAAAAAAAAAAAGACTTCAGGGCCACAATGGAGTTGGACCAAGGTAATACTTCTCCAGTGCCTAGAGTCTCTAGAATACTATCTCCATAGCTATACTGGTATTCAAGTTAAAATGCAAAGCTCATCTATTGTTACCAAGATGTTTGTTTATTTCTTTTTCACAAACAGAATCCTTTCTTCTAATAAAATCTTCTGGGAGGAATACAATATACAAAAGGATAAAAAAGTGGTTGCCCTGGTGGAAGCTGGGAAAAGGGGCAGGGCACAACAAAGTCCTGTCATGAAGTCTCCTTACCCCAAGGTACCATCAAGGACTCAGGGGGTTGGAAGAACACAATCTAAAAACCACCATTGCAGAGGATGCCCAGAATCTCCCACTCCATCCTTGAGGACTGGACAGGAAATAGATTCATCTACTAATTATCTGTAAATATCATCACAAATATGCAGTTGTCTAGGTGGGTTTTGTTCTGAGCATAACAATGAATCAGAAAGAGAATACATGGAAATGTGACATGATACCCGAACAGGTATATAAACACTCTTATCAGTCGTTCTCAAACTATGAAACCAATCCAAACCCTGGTTTTAGTTTTTCCTCACAGACATCTTAAATTCTTTGGTATTTTCCTGCCTTAGAAGTACTTTTCTCATGTTTCTTCTTTTTTCCCTTGCCCAGTTTAGAGAATGGCGGTTCTGATGTAGCTTCTTAGCAACATAAGAATGTTAAGAAGCAAACTCTAACCTAAAAATAATCTCTAAGTTGACATATCCTTGATTCATTTAGAGTGTGGTGTGGAACTGACAAATCCCACTACATACACTTCTGTTATGACATATTCTGTTCCAGGAAATGAATCCCCAAAATTAAAATTTTTCATGTTATCACTCACTCATTATAGGATAGGACGGCAATCCTCTTCCCTCATTGGAAAACTCAGTGCCTCAACCATTAAGAGCTGAAGAAATCTCACCTATAGTGGCCTTGTCAGTCTCTATCTCTGCCAATAAATCTCCTTCACTTAGCTTCTCACCCACTTTTTTTTCCCATCTCTGAACTGTGCCCATGGTCATGGTGGGAGAGAGGGCAGGAAGAACCACCTGCAGAAATAAACACACATTACTGCTTAATACGAGGAAGACTTGGAAACAATGGCACTCAAACAAGCTTCAATAGCTTTATGGAATGATAGTGACTCTGATGATCCAAATTCCCATCTGTCTAATGCCTTCCTAAAGTAAAAGTTCAATGCCTCAATGTCCCACCAGTTAAATCATCCTTCAAATCTCAAGCTTTACATTATCACTCATACTTTGATTCCTCCCCCTCCAAAGTTAAAAGCAATGGGTATACATGAAAGATTTCTTCCTATATAGTCAAAATTAATTCAATTACATCTCTAAACACAAAATATCTTTTCTTCTTTTTTATTACATAGGTTAAGCTAGAATTTTTCATTTCCACAGAATGACTTTGGTCTAGAGTATTTCATCAAAATTTTGCTGTGCTCTGTATGAGCATATATCCTTTTACTCAGAGGAAACTTCATTCTCCCAAACTTCCGGATACCTTACCAAGATAAAAAAAAGAATATTATGAAAAATTATATACCAACAAATTGAACAACTGAGAAGAAATGGATAAATTACTAGAAACATATAACTTTCCAAAACTGAACTGGGAAGAAACTGAAAACTTGAACAGACCAATCACTAGCACTGAAACTGAACCCAAAACTCCCAACAAACAAAAGTCCACAGATGGCTTCACAGATGAATTCTACCAAACATTTAAAGAGTTAATACCAGGACACCAGGGTGGCTTAGTTGGTTAAGCATCTGACTCCTGATTTTAGCTCAGGTCATGATCTCACAGTTCGTGGGATCGAGCCCAATTTTGGGCTCTGCACTGACAGTGTGGACCCTGCTTGGGATTCTCTCTCCCTCTCTGTCTCTCCCTCCCTCCCTCTTGCCCCTTGCCTGCTTGTGCACACACATGATCTCATTCTCAAAATTAGTAAACTTGAAAAAAATGAAGAGGAGTTAATACCTAGTCTGCTCAACTATTCCAAAAAATAAAAGAGGAAGAAAAACTTCCAAACTCATTCTACAAGGCCAGCGCTACCCTGACACCTAAACCACCAAAAAAACAAACAAAAAAAAAACAAAACAAAAAAACTACAGCCAATATCTGATAAACATAGATGCAAAACTCCTTAACAAAATATTAGCAAACTGAATCCAACAATACATTAAAAAAAAATTCATTCACCACGATCAAAGAGATTTATTCCAGGGATGCAAGAATGATTCAATATTTACAAATCAATGTGACAGATCACATTAATAACAAAAAGGATAAAAACCATATGATCATTTTGACAGATGCAGAAAAAGCACATGACAAAGTACAATACCCATTCATGATAAAAGCTTCAGCAAAGTAGGTTTAGAGGGAACATACCTCAACATAGTAAAGGCCATATATGACAAACCTACAGCTAATATCACCTTCAATGAAAACTGAAAGCTTTCCTTCTAAGATCAAGAAGAAGACAAGGATGTCTACTCTCACTTTTATTCAACATAATACTGGAAGTCCTAGCCACAAGCAATCAAACAAGAAAAACAAACAAAAGGCATCCAAATTGGTAAGGAAGAAGTAAAACTTTCACTCTGCAGGAAAAATAAATAAAAGAACTGTTCTTACAACAGTGACTTCCGCCCCAATAAAATCTAAACATCAGATTGGCTGACCTAAATGAAAAAGTGCTTTGACATTCGTATGGCTTGTGTGTCCACTGAATTTGGACGCTTTACTCCGTTATTATGGGTTTTGTTTGCTTCCTCTCAACACCAGGATTATGCTGAGAGAAAAATCATTTCAAATAAAGCCTCAGGGAGGCACGAAAAAGAAGAAACACAAACTTAGAATGCTAATTACAAACTTTTTTAAATGTTTTTTTCTGTTCAGAAGTTGTCATCTCCACCTACTTCTTAAAAACTAGTGAGGCCAATAATCTCTACACAGTATCTTAAAGGATAATTAAGACACAACTGTAACACTTTGCACACAAAGCTACACACAGAAAATGGAGAAAAATGAGTGAGTCTTATGTAGTGAGAGACAGTTTGCTAAACAGAATGAAATAAATGTGTGAACTGAACATCGCACAAAACGTCACCACACAAAACGTCTATTAACAACAGACCACGGAGAAGAACATCATGCCCAAAAAAGAAAATGATTCCTATACAGAAATTTCTACAAATACACTAGGTGAAAGAAAAGTTTTAGTTTTAAACCTTCAGAAAAAGGCCAGCTGCTTTTTTACCCATTTCCAATATTCAAAACACAAATATACATGGGATAACCCTAGTATCTAATAAACTGCTTTAGTCTCTTAGAAACAGATTTAACAGAACCAACAGTGATTACTATTTATTCCCTTCAGCTCTTTTGCAATGCTATTATATATGTTTATTTTACACTGACTCTTTATTGTCAGTTTCCTCATTTATTAATATTACTGGACTACTTCACCCACTCTTAGAAAAAAACACCACATGTCAAAGAAAAACATCAACTGATGACTTTTATTCAATAGATAACGTGTGAGGCCTACTAAACACTCTATAATGTTCTTGAACGAACACTGCCAAGAACTATCTTGTCTACCACGTGGAGGTTGGGAAAGGTTAAAGGAATTGTCCTAGTTCACATACCTGGAAATAACAGCTAGGAGTAAAACTCAATTTTAATGTTTCAATCTCAACTTACTTTCAAATGACAAGAGCTAGCCATATTTAACACCAGTGTCCAGGATGGGATAGCCATCGATGAAAAATAATGAACGATAAACTTTCTAGAGCAAACACCCAGAGGCTGAGGCTCACCTGCATGTGAGTGGGATAGGAGCTACCAGGAGCCTGAGCAGAAGGTGTGGGTGGTGAAGCAGGGGCAGCGGGGGTTGGTGCTGCGGCTGCTTGCGGGGTAGGTGCTGCTGCGGAATCCAGTGTGTAATTTTTAAAGGCCTCAATATCCTCAGGCCTAAGGAAGAGAAGGAATGGGTAAATACAGGGAGTTATAAGGCAAGTTTAGCTCCTAGAAAAGTAGACTTAGGAACCTTTAACTCCTATCTTCTCAATTCTGGGTTAAAATACTCCACCAAGCATGTAAGTTCCACAAATTACCAAAGTACTACTCACTTCTCAACTGTGATGCAGATGATTGCTCCAACTGGAACATCTCTGGTACCTTCAGCCACAAGTATCTTTGCCATGTAACACTCCTCCAGGCTCTCAAATCCAACAGTGGCCTTATCAGTTTCGACCTTTTAACACAAAGCAGGAGCTTAAGCTCGTGCTACCAGTATGAAATTTATTAGATTGTGCCTAGAATCACACAGTTCAACAGTCTGGTGAAGATGTGAAGATAAAGCCTCTATTATAGATCTGAAAGGAATTATTTAAAAAAAAAAAAAAACACCTTAGCTAAAAATCAGTCTGGCTAGTTGCTGACAGCATCTCTAATCAACCTTCTCTAATATCAGGTTGTAAAAACCATCTAAGTTTCTTAAGCAAAAAGAGTAAGTACCTATCCGGAAAGCGAACACTCAGCGCAGCTAAGCCAGTTCCTTCTGACTCATTTCCATATTTTAAACAACTTACCTCTGCAATTAGTTCACCCTCATTGATTTTTTCCCCTTCCTTTTTTTCCCAACGGGCTATGGTGCCTGCCTGCATTGTGGGGGAAAGAGAGGGCAATGGAACCTGGAGGAAAAAAGGAGAAACAATAAATTTTAAAAATGTTATCTCTCAGTCTGGTTTAATATTTCATTCAATTTTACTTAATGCGAAGAGTGTACTGAGTCTCATCTCATGCCGGGCACTGGGGACAGAAAGGGAGTTCCTGTCACCAGTTCTCCAGTGACAGGGTTCCTGCTCCACAATCCTGTGGGACTGACAGAGCACCTAATTCAGCAGACACTGCACAAATAGATTCAGGTTTGGAACCCTTCTTTCAATGGACTAGATCAGGAGAGGGAAGCCTGGAATTCTTTCCCTTCAATAGAATAAACAGATCAGAAAGATAAGCTCAACAGCCAGAGCAAAGCTGGGTATTGGAGAACGGACAAATGATACATACTAGGAACGGGGTGGAGGATCACTGAGGACTCATAGAGAGAAGATTCCAACGCCAAGAAGTCTGCCCTGAAGGACAAACTGGCTCCCGTGAAGGGCAGGTCTGGGGCTCACCTTCTGATGCGGGGGCAGGCTGTAACAGCGGCGGCTAGGCGATCCCAAAAGCTGCAGCGTGAAGCGATTCCTCGGTGTGGCCCACGAGCTGGGGCTCCACCCGCAGAGGGCGCGGACCCTGCCATACCCCGCGGTCCCGCTGCTGCAACGAGCCGGAGCCGCGCCAGCCCGCGGGGTCACGCACGGAGCTCCCGGGTCCTCCCGCAAGGCGGTCCACCGAGCCCCGAATCCTGCCCTTGGGGCCACATTCCGTGCCCGTCGAGCACAGACTCGCCACATACTGCCAGCGACCCCCACAACCCAAAACCAAAGCCGTCTCCGGAGTGACCTCTCCAAGAGCAGTGCGGCGTTGCCGTCAGCCACACCGCGCAGCCGCACATTGTCGTAAAATGAGCTCCAAAAGGTTGGCGGCACCCCTCCCCAGACCAGAAATGGGTGGAACGTCCGCTGTTCTCCCGGTAGTGGGGTAACGGGTGGCCCACAGCGGGTAGGGGCGACTACTTTGGAGCCACGGGGGCAGGGGTGTTCCAGCGGAGGCAACGTAGGGGCAAGTTTGGGAGAAATGAGACGCAGGGAGGAGTAGGAAGGTGGAAGGGTCCTAAGGCATCTCAGGGTAAGACGGAGCCGCCAGGGAGGGGTCTAAAAAGGCGGCAAGAGCCGGCTACTAAAGGCAGAATGGTCTGAGAGGTGGGCTGAGGGGAGTGGCCAAGTTTTGAGAAAAGCGGAGTGGTGAGCGGGAGGACGCGCCTGGTGCTGAGAGCCCGAGGCCAAGGGCGCGGTCTTGGAGCGCTGAGGAAGGTTTGGAGAGCGGAGCGGGTCAGCTCGTTTCTGTGGTGTAACCTCCCCCACCCCCGCTCCCGCCCTTCCCGACCCTTCCGTGCTCAGGTGTGGGCCTCACTCGGTGCAGTCTGCGGGAGGTTACAAAGCTTTAGTTTCGCGTTTGTAGCATAACCGGCAATCCCAGTGAACAGGTTTTCCAGCCAAATGAAGGGCAGCCAAACGGAACGTTAGTTTCCCCATTCAGCTGTGCTGTAACGGGACTAAGCGTAGGAAGATACAAGGTTACAAAACAGATTTGCGTTTCTAATCTATAGAATCCCTTTAGATTGCAAGAAACTTCGTTATGCTTGACATATTTCTTTCTTTTTTTTTTTTTTAATTTTTAAAATGCTCATTCATATTTTGGGAGCCAGAGCGTGACGGGGAGGGGCAGAGAGAGACAGAGACAATCTGAAGCAGGCTCTAGGCTCCGAGCTATAGGGCTCAGGCGCTCTGTGAGATAACGACTGAGCCCCCCAGGTGCCCCTGTTATGCTTGAAGTATTTCATACCGAAACTAAACTATAACCCCGTGAGAGCGGGGAGCATGTCTATATTGTTCTTTGATGTATCCCCGGAGTTTAGTATAGTATCTGGTAAGTAGTGGAGGTTGAGTTCGTGTGGTTTGAATTAATAAATGAAGTTACCTACAACATTTGTTAGGTACGCGTCTGTAGGATTATCATCCTGTAATTAAAAAAAAAAAACAAAACCTCATTTCTGAGCTGTACTTAGATCTCTAAGTCCCCAGTGTACAGATGGTCATAGAACACCAAGAACAAGAAAAAAAGGAAAAAACCAACATTTGAAAATATGTCAACCTTTGCTAGTAATTAAACATTTGGAAAATTAAAGACAGTACTATTTCATACTCAAGTAGGAAACTGTAAAAAGTAAAAAATGAGATGGCAGAGAAAGAGATGCAGTTGTTGAGTGGACTGAATAGTTTTTTTTTTTTAATGAAGTTTGGTTTTCTTTTGTTATTTTATTATTTTTTTAATGTTTATTTATTTTTGAGAGAGAGAGGGAGACACAGAATCCGAAGCAGACTCCAGGCTCTAAGCTGTCAGCACAGAGCCATTCGCCGGGCTTGAACTCCATGAACCAAACTGCAAGATTAAGACCTGAGCTGAAGTTGGACGCTTAACCAACTGAGCCACCCAGGTGCCCCTGGTTGTTTTAAATACACATTTTTGAAAGTCTCTAATGTCTCTTTTGCATTAAAGACTTTTGTCATACAGGGGCTCCTGGGTGGCTCAGTCAGTCGGTTGGGTGTCCAACTTCAGCTCTGGTCATAATGTCATGGCTCATGGGTTTGAGCCCCGCGTCGGGCTCTGTGCTGACAGCTCAGAGCCTGGAGCCTGCTTCGGATTCTGTGTCTCCCTCTCTCTCTGCCCCTTTCCTGCTCACACCCTGTCTCTCCTTCAAAAATAAACATTTAAAAAAAAAAGACTTTTGTTATATAGTTGATGCTCAGGTTCTTATTTGTTTGCACATTTACATATAATTTCAAAAGAAGTGCTAAGTCAATGAATTTTCTTTGACAATAATAATGTTTCGTGCTTACATTTGAAATAACAACGGTAAAATATCTATAGCAATGAATAATCCTTATCTCCACTCCCCAAGTAATAAGTAAACATGCTACCAGGGAGATCACTTGAGGGAATGGACTTTCACTAAATGTAAATGGCTTTACTGATTAATTTCGGTCAATAAACACAAGTGAAAATGATGAATGGTATTTAGTTTGCAAACTCCATTTTATTCATGGTTTTTTCTGCTTTTTTAAAAATTAGTTCACAAATCTGGTACATACAGGCAGTTAAAAAACTGGTTATCACTTTGATAATCAGAAGCCTCTGGTATAACACAGTCTTCATGAAAACATAGGGAGAATGCATGGTGGTAATCTCTTTGAAAGCAATGCTTGCAAACATCCATGTTTCTAAGAAAAATATAATTTTACATATATATTTTCAGCAAGCTATACCTCTTACATAAATTCAGACAATAGGAGTGTGCAATCATAATGCTTATTTTATGGAAAAAATGAAAATTATAATTATGCCATAAATGCTTTTCAGTAATTATTAGAGTCCTCTTGGATTTGATATGTTTTCCCTAATTTTCAACTATCCTGGTCAAAAGGAGCTGAAATGGTAGTAAGTAGGAATGCCAATAAGGAGAGTTTAACTCAAATTCTTTAGGTACAAATTATATAGTGTTCCAATTCCAGCTAATTTAGGGAACTGAGAATAGTTGTCAATTTTTAAATGATGACTTTTGAGGAACTGAGCTTTCTTCTAAACTAGTTTTTGTGAGAGGATCGTTTTTTTTTAATCTAACAGGATTTAGAGGTTATGTGAGCTCAAGACATTCTAGTCCCTTGGTTTTTTCAAAGAGAATTTCAGCAGTGTCAGGATGGACTACCCCTCAAAAATGTCACTTGGGGACAGTTCTCTGAATAAATCAAGAGGCTTCTAGTGCAGCCAGAGTAACAAACAGCAATCAATTCAAACCAGAAGGAACCAAAGCACAACACTTCCTCACAAGGTTCTGGTCTTCAGAAACTGGAATGAGGATTGCCAATACACTGTACACAGGAATTACTGGAGTGATATCCTGTCATCCGGGTGTTTCGTTATTACCTGTGGCATAGGAGATTCATGAGCTAAAGGGGATTTCTATAGAGGCACTAAGGCCATGCATCTCCTCTTCCAAAGGACAGAGCTATAAAAGCCAAATAAGGTGAAGGACTTTGGCATTTTTCTTCCACTCAATTTTCTCTGAAAAGTTAAATTCTCCATAACGGTAAGGACGTTTGCTCAAAGAAAACTGACAAGCAAAAACTAAAGAAACAGACATTCAAGATCAATTGTACTGGAAATACAGTAACGGATTTTGGCCTGACAACTCTCATGCTGTCTTATAGTAAAACACTAAAATTCATGCAACAGAGAAATTGGTGACATGAGGACTTTTACTCCAGACTTCCTGGGGGGAAAAAACACTCAGAATATACTGTTTTCTTCTGTTTGCTTCATAATGTATTATTCTTGCTTTTGACTGACTGTCCCAAACTTTCCCAGTCATTTTTGATGAGAAATTCTTCAAAAGGAGAAGATCAAGTGAACTTACTGAAAGATATCAGGTATCTTATGAGCTCCTTCCATCTGCTAGAGGAGCAATCAAATAGATTATGTAAAACTACCTCCACAAGATAAAACTACCTCCACAAGGAAAATGGCAGGTAGAATTAGAACCAGGAGTTAGTTGTCATCAGCATACTTGTAACAAAATAAAGCTTGTTCTGAAACCACAAGGGCTAAGAGAAGAGCCTGTATAAAAGCTACTGGGTTCTCTAGAAATGGATACAGTATACAGAATGTGAGAAGATACAGAACTCACACTCAAGTTACAAAAATAGACATGGTTCTCAGACAAAAGGCAAATGAGTACAAAAGAATTCTCCAAACATGAACTATTTTTAAAAGACACATCTATATAAAACAACAAAATGTCATTTCAGAGCTCCAGTGAGTAGTTTGTTAAAACAGTTGGAAAAGGGAGATGAAATAGAGACAGACAGATCAAGAACCCAGAACTGACATGTCTGACTCTTCTGGTTGGCAGTGGTCACAGGCTGACTGCTTTGGGGAATGAATGTGTGTGTGTGTGTGTGTGTGTGTGTGTGTACATACATATATATACATATGGCTGATTAGTTGATGGTGTTTGGTAAGTGACGGAGAAAACCCTAGTTATTCAGTAATCTCTGAAAGTTTAACTCTTTTAGCTTCTACACTGGACAGTGTTGCACATGAGAAAGGATTCTAGGTTTTTTACCCAGAATCAACCCTGCCATTCACAACTCATGCTCCATGCCCCATGGTTCCTATTGTGCCCTAAAGGATCATCCTAGACTAAATATATAATAGAAAATAACTCTGGCCTTGAAATGAGGAGGGGCAGACCAGTGACTCATGCTCAGTACTCATAAATCACAAATACCAAAATTAATGGTCTGTCTCCTTTTGACTGCAGAGGAGATGCCACGAGCTACAGGAAGTCATGAGAGAAAGAAAGTCAAGAAAATATGGGTAGCAGCACCTTTCCATACCCGCCTGGATTTTTAAGGAGACTTTAAACTCCTTTTTCCTTTCAAACACAAAGTTCATCAGTTGGAAGGGGGAAACATGGCTCTACGGTGACAGAGTCCCTAGAGAAAACTGGCAGAACATGAAACATGCCCTCCATGGGCTAAAGGACAAGTTGCAGAACCAGTTAAGACACAAGAGGCAGCCAAAGGTCTTCCTCAATCGTGGTTTTAGCAAGTATAGCACGATATGGGCTTTTTCCATCCAGTCAACAGTTCAGCACCATCCATGTCCGGTCCAAAAAATTCCTGAAGAGTGGGTTTTCATCTTTGGTACCGCCTCATGAGTTATTCTTGGTTTGCAATAGCTGCAAAGAAGCAAAAAAGCTGGTACCTTTGCCTTGTCTGTGAGTACAAATGCTGGGACTCTGATTGCTGCAACCATTGAGGCCAATTAAAATAAAACTGTAACACACAGGAGTGATGCATCCAATTCCCAGGTTCCAGATAATAGCAGCCATGCCCCTACAGGAGCGGGATCATCCATTCCCATTGGTTAAGGCCTTTGGTTTGTTGTCCTCAGAGTAGAATAAAACACTGTGTTCCCACGGACAAGGAACTCCAGATGGACCCATGGTCTACAGTTGACAGGGGTTTTAAAAAATGTACTACATATACCAGGCACAGAAACAGCACTGGCCTGGGGCTGTTACACTTGGAGAAGCTTCTGTTTTGGTAGCACGAACTAGAAACTTCTTAGTGTATTTTAGTCCTCTTTCCTGAGTGAAACAGCCAGGGGGCGCCAAGTTCCACAAGCCCCCAGTCTAATACTCAGCATTAATTCTCTCCATGGTCTTCTTCCACCCAGGCTACAATTTTCCCTTCCCAACCAGGGATGGCATCGTCATCGTGGAAAACCTAGAGGAAGAAAAAGAAGCCACAGTGAAAAAACAACAGGATAAGACAGTGACTCTCACTAGACAACTGCTGCTGCTAAAAGTAAGATCTCAAACATAAAGGATAAGAAAATATAGAGAAAAGCTTGAAGCTAGAGGCTATGTCCCTTTGGTTCTGTCCCTAAAGTTGTAACTACATATTTATGTATTTAATATTTTTAATGCATGCAATACATTATTATATGTTATTATGTACTATATATTCTTAGTTCTACATCTATGAAATGGTAAAAGCATCCCTAACTCTGCTTTGCTCATGGAGATCAAGAAGATTTAATATATTACTAACCATGAAGCACTTTGGGCTCCTTGAGATCAAGAAGATTTAATATATTACTAACCATGAAGCACTTTGGGCTCCTTGGGAGAAAGCAGTAGCATAAGCATTACACAAGTGAGAAAGGGGAAAATTTCGGTCCCAAGTATTATAAAGAAAGGGTTAGAAAGAAGACCAAAAGAACATGCAGTTCTTTCTATTCATTCATTCACTTCATTTCGTAAGCCACCAATACAACAGGGCTATTAAAGCATGTTGAGGAAATATTTATGAAATAAAACATCAGCTTTAATCACAATGCAACCACTTGTAATATGTCAGAACCCAGAATTGTCTTCCCTGTATATGGCAGATGGATTATAAAGAGAGGCGTAGGCTAAGAATATAGTCAAGGAGTTGAGAATAAGCATAGGTGATTTTCTAGAAGTTCCTCATTTTCATTATCTGAGAAACTACCATCACAATGTACAGTTCCATATATTCATACCTATTTTACTCTATGTAGGAAGCAGAAAGGTTTCTCAGAATTGACTGCACATAGAAAAGGGACCCCTGAACCGGGCGTTTGTTCAAGCTTAGGTCCTTTCCTTTTTAAAATCAGTAACTGTATCCAAGTCTGGTCAAAGTGGTTAAGTCCTTGAACCGAAGAAGCTGTCAACTCCTTGTGCAATTCCCTGACCATCTGGGTCTAGGGTAATCAGACTGTGGTCTGAGGCTCTGGGAAATTCCGCTGACCTGGTTAGGGAACTCGGGTACTGCTGGGTATCAGTCCCTGAGGAGGTGGCTCTGGGAATCAGCAGCACACCACCCAGACTCCCCTTGGATTCTGTACCTCCTCTTTGACAGTGCCAAACTCAGGATCCAGCGCTTTAAAATGATACCGGTGATTCCCCTCCCGGTCAATGGCTGCTTTAAAATCCTTTAGTGTCACCTCCCCCAACCTGCAACAAAAGGCAAGAGCGCTAAAACAGACTGTTCATCAATAGGCTGGAAAGATGAGACGTTAGCTTTAAACCCAGGCCCCTGCCAAAGACTCTCCAGGAAAAAACAGCATGGCCTTGTTAGGTCCCTGCCCCTGATAACCCAGACAATTCTACAAGAGCAGAGCTGAGGGAGCCAGTCACCATGAGGGAATGAGAATGGCATTCCATCTGGGGTGATCTGGGAATTTAAAAGAGATGTATTGTTTCAGCAGCAGCCAAATCACTTTTCCCTGTTTTACTCTGGAAATAAGACATACGGTCTCGGAGATCTAATTTGCTGAGCCATCAATATGTCTAAGTTCTCTTGATTTCCTTCTCTGCAACGATGTTCCATTTCACCATCTTCATCCTTCCAGCTTCAGAAAGCTCCCCTCTAGCCCACAACAAGTAAGCAAACTCTCTAGGAAAGGGGCAGCCTACTCCTTCTCTCAGTAGTTGTTTCCAGAGTTAAAAAAAAAATCTTTCAAAGCCATTTGCCTTACAAGGGAGCATAAATCAATGTTTGAAGGCTGTTAACGTGAATTCTCAACTGCTCAGATGCAGTCATCAGACAGTACCAAGATCAGTGAGGAACAGCCTGGAGGGCTAGTGTGTGATCTATGGCTATCAGCGGAGCTATTTTATGAGCCCTTTAAAAAATTATTTTTCCTAACTTGGAACATATCTGTGTATCAGGACTGGAAGCGCTATTACGGTGTCTGTACCCAGAAGCAGATCAAGACATGTCCCTTGTAGTGCCACTGGTTAGTGGTAACAATGAGACTAGAATCCTGATCCTATATTCTTACTGCACTCTACCGATTCTCAAACACTGCTCAGATGGTTGCATGGGCAGTAACTACTGATTCTGCCTCCTGTCCTTTTTAAAAGAGGAATAACGATCCCAGAATCTCACCTCTTTGGTATATTGACCATGAAGGGTGTAAGTGACCGGTCAGTGAAATAGAGCACTTTAGTGCAGGTGCTGCTGACAGCCGGAGAGCTCTGTGAGTGAGGCAACTCTGCAATCAGAGAAAGACTCTATGGTCAGAACCGAATGTGCTCCCAACCATCCCACATTTCCAGTTATTCAGAGTGTCCCAGGAGAAGGAAGCTGCCTGAGGTCACAGCACAGCTTTCACACCCTTGCAAAACACCACGTCCATAGTGCGTGAGCCACAGGAAGTCACCACTGAGGCCACAAAGCCAGGAGGTGCTTCGGACATGGACACTATCATGAAGCCATTTCTCACCCGTTCCAGGTTATTTCTAACAGGGAACAGGAACTTTCCTGACAGGCATTGTTGCTCAGAGTCAAAAGAGGTCAAAGAAGCCAGGCAAGATTTCAGCAAAGGAAGAATGGACGCAATAGCAGGAGCTACAGACACAGCCAACATTCAGACAGCTGGAGAAAATGCTCATGCAATCCACGGACAGAGAAATGAGCAGGGACGAGAATCACAGGAGCACAGTAACGTTAGAAACTGAGATTCCAAGGGGCCTTATGCTTCCTGTACCAAAGGTACGAGACCAGGGTGCCTGGGTGGCTCAGCTGGTTAAGTGACCACCTGTGCTGACAGCACAGAGCCTGCGTGGGAGTCTCTCTCTCCCTCTCTTTCTCTGTCCTTCCCCTGCTAGCATGCTCTCTCTCTCTCAAAATAAATAAATAAACTTAAAAAAATAAAAATAAAGGTACAAGACCTACCTTATCTCTTGGCTACACAGGATCTATATGTGTGGGTCCCATGGTTTTTAACTCAAATTCCTTGGTCCACATCTTATCTCTACCCTTTGTATAGGTACTTAAGGAAAATTTTTAATTAATAAGTACCTACGATTATGACTTTAATAGGAGAAAAGACTAATTAGAAACTTTTATCATAAGAACAAACAACAATTATTGTTGTATCTTATAATCTACTTAATGTAATTGTTATAATACTAAAATCTCTCCTGCAATTCCACTTACACATATTTTCTTAACCTATTCTAGGCATTTCAACATCCTTGTCATATCTGAGTCTACTCTCACCTAGACACTGATGGACTCTTAACAGTGGCTTGCAGCTTTCTTGCTTTTGTGGATGTCTCCTAATTTACTACTGAATGTCAGACATCATATGTAAGACAGTAGAGAGTGACTTACAAAATGTTTATGTTTAGAAATGCGCACACTGCTTGTTCCCCAGCCATTAGTAGGGATTGTTAATCTAGACAGGAATTGAGCTGGGATTGGGATTTTTGTTAAGGTTACTTTTGGTGTACCACCATCTTTAAATTCCTCTAGAGTTATGTTTATTTAAAAACAGATTTAAAAAATAAATAAAAATAAAAGGATTCACCCAACTTCTATCCTTTTGTGTCTGACATCATTCACTTAACAGAACGTTTTCAAGGTTTATCCATGTTACAACATGTTATCAGTGCTTCATTCCCTTTCTGTGGACGGATAATATTCCATTGTCTGCACGTGCCAGACTTTGTTGATCCATTCTTTGAGTAATGAACATTTGGGTTGTTTCTACCTTTTAGCTATTGTGAATAATGCTATGTACAAGTTTTTGTGTTTGTTTTTTTTTTTTTGAATTCTTGCCTTTAATTCTTTTGAGTATTGACACCTAGGAATGGAATTGCTGGCTCATACAGTAATTCTATATTTAGGTTTTTGAGGAACCACCAAACTTTTCCACAGCAGCTGTATCATTTTATATCCCCACCAGCAATGCATGAGCATTCCAATTTCTCAACATCCTCAATACTTATTTTCCATTTCTTTAGAACCACCTAGTGAGCATGAAGTGGTTTCTCACTGTAGTTTTGATGTGCATTCCCTAATGACTAATGGTTTTTGGTTTTGTTTTGTTTTTCTTTCAGTTTTTATTTATTTATTTTCCAGAGAGAAGAGAGGAGAAAACAAGAGAAGCCACCAGAACCCGAGCCAGATAGGGGCAGAGTTAGAGGGAGAGAGAGAATCCCAAGCAGGTTCCACACCCCAACACAGAGCTGGATGTAAGGTTCAAACTCATGAACCGAGGAGATCATGACCTGAGCTGAAATCAAGCAACCAGCTGAGCCACCGGGCACCCCGCCCCCACACACCCTCCAGTGACTAATCCTTTTAAGCATCTTTGGATGCTTTGGAGAAATGACTTTAGAGAAGTGACTATTCAAGTCCTTTGCTTATTTGTTACTGAATTTGTCTTTTGTTGTTAAGTTGTAAGAATTTTTTTTTTTTAAAAAATTTACCTTTTAAGTTTAATTTGTGGGACAGAGAGAGCGAGCATGAGCGGGAGGGGCAGAGAGAGGGGAGACACAGAATCGGGAAACAGGCTCCAGGCTCTGAGCCATCAGCCCAGAGCCTGACCCATGCAGAACCAAGTCCCGGACAGCAGAGATCAGTGAACCTGGCTGAAGTGGGACAACGACTATGCAAGCCCCAAGAATTTTTTATATATTTTGTATCCTAGACATGATTTTCAAATATTTTCTCCTATTCTCTTTGCCTTTTCACTTTCTTGATAGTGTCCTTTGATGCAAAAAAGTCTTTAATTTTGATGAAGTCTAATTTCCCTATATTTCCTTTTGTTGCTCATGCTTTTGGTATCTGAGAACCCAAGCTCATGAATATTTTCCGTATGTTTTCTTCTAAGAGTTTTATAGCTTTAGCTCTTATATTTGTATCAATGATCCATTTGTAGTTACTTTTTGTACATGTACTTTATGTACATGGTGTGAGGTAGGGGTCCATCTCTGTTCTTTTGCATGTGGATACCCAGTTGTCCTAGCGCCATTTGTTGAAGAGACTCTTCGCTGGTCAAATGACCACAGACTTAAAGATTTTATGTGAATTCTCAATTCTATTCCACTAGTCTATTGTATCACTCTTTACATTTGAAATAATTATTATTGTTTTCCCTTAAGAGTGAAAGTTCAGAAAAGAAGTAAATTCAGAGAGAGGATTATTCTTTCAGGAGATTTGGCTGTGATAAAAAAGGAGAAAGACAGGGTATAGCCAGAGGGGAATACCTAGAAGGTATTTTGAGACAATTAACATTTGCCTTGCACCTCTCACATGCCACACACTACACCAGATTATTTGCATACAATATTTCATTTAATGTGCATAATCCTTAAAGATTTTCTCCAATTCATGAACAAGGAAACTAAAATGCAGTCATGTTAATTTAACACCCTTGCCTGTGGTCACATACCCTGCTGAGAGCCAAAACCGCACCCCAGATCTGTTGGACTTCATATGCCATATTTTTCCCACTCTATAGTTTTGTATCCAGTTTTGGACATGAGTTTTAAGTGCCCTTCTACCTACAGGGAGATACCTAGTTGTCATTCAAAAATATAGCTCTGAAGTTCAGAAAAGGGCTGGAGTTAGAGATTAAAGTTTAAAAATAATCAGCACATAAGAGTATGTAAGCCATGGTAGTGGAAGGGATCACCAAAGAAAATATGAAAAAGCCGAGGTCTAGACCTCCTATGGATCCCAGGGCACACCAACATTCAACAGTTCGACAGAGAAGAGAAGAGAAGGAGATCGTATCTAGTTCACTAGACAGCACACGCCAAAAGGGCAAGTACCAAGTCTATCTTGTTTCTTCCTGTACCTCCAGCGTCTAACATGGCGCTACACAATGGATGCTCGATAAATATTTGTTGAATGCATAATTGGTTGGCACTGAAGTTAAAGAGGAGGAATGTTTACAGAAGGAGACTATTCAAGAATAGCAAATGCTTTTGAGCAGTCAATGGAAGATAAGGTTTGAAAAGTAACCACTTTGATGAGGCAACAAGAAAGTCAACAGTGAGTCAATAAAAAGAACATTAAGTGGATTAAGTGAGTAAAAGTCCAGCTGATGGCTTGAGAGTGAATAGGAAGAAAGGATGGAAAAAGAACAAGTGTAGACTGTTCTTTCAAGGTTTGATGTAGGGGAATAAAAGAAGAATGTCAGTAGCTAGAGGGCTAGTGAGTTATACACTCACTGTATTTTCCGAGAAGAGACTATTTAGCTTATTTGTGAATACAGAAATTAGATTAACGCCCTGGTTTACGAGCAGCCGGGGATTTATTTGCAGGGGATAAGTACTGCATATACACAAAAGGGTTTTTCCAGGAAGGGAGGAATTTTTTAGACTTAAAAAAATTTTTTCAAATATTTAGACTTGTCTACATTGGGAGTTTATATTAGCCTAAAGAAAGTACTGAAGAGGATAACAATAAAATAAAAAGTCTCTCAAGAAAACAGAAATGACTGTTTCAAAACAATGCTAGAAAAAGAAATTGAAACAGAAACTGAAGAGAAAAGAAGTTAGTACCAAGTAATCTTGGTACTAATATAATTAGATATCTGGAGGCTTAGATGTTATTTTATTTACTCTACAAAAAATATTTTTACCTTTCATATTTTTGCAAATATCTTTAAGTGTTTTACTTTAGGTGTTGTTTATTCATCTGGTTTTCAAAACATATACATATATATGTGAGTGTGTGTGTGTGTGTGTGTGTGTAATATACAAAACTGGTTATGGTCAGCTTTTCACTATTTGGTTTTTTTTTTTTCAACGTTTTATTTATTTTTGGGACAGAGACAGAGCATGAACGGGGGAGGGGCAGAGAGAGAGGGAGACACAGAATCGGAAACAGGCTCCAGGCTCTGAGCCATCAGCCCAGAGCCTGACGCGGGGCTCGAACTCACGGACCGCGAGATCGTGACCTGGCTGAAGTCGGACGCTTAACCGACTGCGCCACCCAGGCGCCCCTCACTATTTGGTTTTTATAGATTATTATTTACCTTTATATTTGGCCTGAATACACTATAAAAGATAATAAAAGGTGAGCTTTATTAAACCAAAAGGTAAGATACCCGATAAAAGAGAAATTACCAGGCAGGTTTGATTACCAACATGATTGAATGAACGGGGAAAGAAATGTTAACGACAGGGCTTAGAGCAGGTTAAATTACTTCTTAGGCAGGGCCACTAGATGGCACAAATCCTTTGTGGGACTTAAACTGAAAGACCAGAGGACCTAGTGTTAAGGAAAATCTCCAAAGAAATTAAACATCTTGCCTCCAGGAAGAACTGGAAGTTTCCTATGCTATTTGAGACTGTGTGTTTTTGTTGTTTTACGTTTTTCTTTGTTCAATGTAAATGTTTTGATCGTGTATATTTTCCAAAGAGATTTTAGCCTCTTGCACGGTTAGCATCTTGCACGTGGCTAAATGGTACTTGGGGTGATGGTAGTGATGATGACGGTATGTGTCTCCAGAGTTCTAGAAGTAACTCGATTCAACTGTATTGCTATAGCAACAACATAAGAGTGAAGTACTACAAGAAAAATTCTGTTTTCAACATGTTAGTAGCAAGAAAAATACTAAATTTCTGATCTAATATGCTATGAGTCCTTACTGAACAATAAGGTGTACTTACTTGAATTAGGGGGCCAGGATTCCCGGTATTCACTACCTGCTTGAGTTCTTGGTAACTTGCCCCGAACCTGAGGAGCCACACAAAAATCCTAAAATGATCAGCAGGAGAATTTATCCAAGAAATTTAAATCATAAAAGTACATCTAAAATATATACTTTCCTACCACATCTTCCACAGTATACCAAATTAGACACATTTAGCCTAATATTAATGATGTACATTTGTAACAGGCTTTCTAGTTTCCAGTGCATTTTCCCACATATTTCCACATCCAGTGCTGAGCGCATTCAGGGGAAAAGGGGAAGGTGAATAAGCAGTAAAGAGAGACCCTGTGGGGTCAAGAACCACCATTCCTTAGACAGGCAATTTCTAGGAGCAAGAGTAATCATGAACTCCCTTCCTGGAAAGTCACACCATGACGAAGAGTCCACTCCACCGACAGGAAAACCAAAGAGAAAAGCAGCCACAAACTCTGACAGGATCAGCGTCTTCAGCCCTGCCTTTATCTCAATTAAACCTGATGAAACTGAGTTCCGTGGGAGCCTGCCTAAGAGAAACACCACAGAAAGAGGATTACCCTTCTGTCTTGTTTCTTCTGGCTCTCCATGGCATGCAGGCGCTCCATAAGGCTGGAGATGCCCTGTTCCAAGCTGTCAATGGTATGGTGCTGAGGATCGTGGCCACTGAAGCTATTGCGCAGGCTTCGGAGGGCATCTCGAACCAGCTGCAGATCGCTGGTCTGTGGGCAGAAAGGAGGTCACACTGACGTGGTGCAGTGCCGTATTCTTAACCGTGTCCCAGCCGCCGGGCTTAGGACGGTAGAGGAGAGAGGCTTCCAGGATAGATCTTTTATTTTCGAGGGAGGAGGTGTGAATTTAAGAAATGTTCCTCCACAGAAGTTTGCCCACTAATTCTTAATTAGGGCTTCACACCTTCACACACCCAACAGATGCAAGACTTAGGGAACTGGGGTACCAAAGGCCTAGTGCGCTGGCAATGGCCAGGCTACTCTTGTGGTTTTAGCTGGAAGTGGAGGTCTGCACTCAAATCCTAAGAACCTACCCCTTTGTGAGTGACGGAAGCAGCTCCTTTTCCTGCCGCTGGAAGGAAAAAACCATTGCTTTGAGAGTTGTGTCTGTTGTAGCTGGTCACCTATAGCAGCAAGAAGACACGATGCTTCTATAAGGGACACTGCAAACCAGGATGCCCTGTCTTATACTGATTTACAGTGATCACTTCCTGACAGTGTATCGTGGTATATTTGTTCATGTCTCTCTCCGAATGTAAACCTGGGATGGGCGCAAAGACGTTTTCCCCCTTTTGTTCACTGCTGTAACCCCAGTACTTGACACTTCGTAGGCAGTGCTGAATGAACAATGAGCAAAATGGTAACCTCATCCCGGAGGGCCCCAAGCTAGCCTCAGCCTGGCCACAGGAAGGCCTGAGAATGGGGCTCCAGCACCTCCAGACTTCACTTTAGTGATTAAAAAAAAGAAGAACAGTGACTAATATTTTTTGAGCCTGACTTTGTGCCAGGTGGATCTATCAGGACTATCCTTTTTCCAGATGAATCTTATTCCTAAGGCTCAGAAGCTAAGCAAAGCAAGGTCACACAACGGTAAAAAGAGTATAAAGCTGGAATTTGAAACCAGATTTTCTTAGTCTGAAACCAGCACTCTTTTTATTTGTTTTAAGTTTTGTTTATTTAAGTAAACTGTACATCCAACATGGGGCCCGAACTCTCGACCCCGAGATCAAGAGTCGCATACCCTTCCGACTGAGCCAGCCAGGCGCCTCTGGAACCTGCCACTCTTAACCCTCTCACCAGACAAACAGCCTCCTAACAAACCAACCTGCAGCCTTGGTTTCAGCCCTGAGTCAGAAAGAGTATCTCCCTCTTTGCCCTTGCAGATGCAGGAGGGGGGACCCTGAGCCGGGGGTTACCTCGTCTGCCTCTCTTTTCATACAGTGAGCCAAAAGGACGTCTTTGTGTTCTAGCTCCCGCTCTAGATCCACCTGCAAATCAGAAACTAAATCAGAAAAGGATTTTCTCAGGCAGAAGGGGAAGGAAGCCAGTGGCTGACTGTGTCCCCACCTGCTGGTAACTGGCCTCAGAGAGTTTCCGGAGTGCGTCTTCCAACTTAGCCTGGTGCTGCTGAAGGAGGCGCTCCTTCTGCCCCAGCTCTTTCTGCAATAGAGACAGAGCTTGCAGATGTGTGGCAAAGCCAAGGATGCCCAACAGTTCACTGTTGGCCACGCAAGTTCACTTGAGCAAAGTCGAGCCGCAGGGGGAGGAGTCTTTCCCCCCAAGCTACACAGAAGACATCGCACACCGTAGTAATCTTACCCAGTGCAAAGGCTTCTTGGAAAAGTAAGGAGGGAGGGAACTACCATCTGTAGGAGGACCACTACGTGCCATCCGTGCTAGTTAGGCATAAAGGTGAAGACTGAAGTTTGCAGACAACTAGCTCTGGACTCCTCTTAGACATGCTATCTATTCTTCAGGGTGACTGAATCAAAGGAACACAGAAGAAAATTTCCTTGCTATCTACTCTTCAGGGTGACTGAATCAAAGGAACACGGAAGATTTCCTTGCGAAAAAGCAACAATGAGAACACAGTACTTAAGAACTCTTTGAACAACAGCAACAGTAGGCTGTTCATAAAAGGTCTAATGGAAATCATTTCCAAACTCATAAACATTCTTACTTTATAGTCTCCCAAGAGCCGGTTCCTCTCATCCAGCTTCCTCTGCAGATCCACCTGCAAGAAGGAAAAGAATTAACTGGCACAGAGATATTGTCTACCAACCCCAGTAGGAAACCAGCTACTTAGTAACCAGAGTGGATGTTGGCAATTAGAGTATACAGCACAGAGAGGGCAAGGTTATGGTAAAAACACACAGCTGCTCTCCGTGTCTTGAGTGAGATAATCAAACTCTCAAACCACAATTTAGCCTCTCAGTGTCCTCAAAGTTGAAAGGCTCGAGACCAATGTAGTATGGGCTTTCAGCCAGGAACAGAGATGAGTCTGACAGGAAATAAAAATAATTGCAGACACTGAGGGCAGGCATCCCAGAAATAAGATAAGAGAGATTAATTAGGATGGCAGATGTAATAAGACTTCATGCAGTATCTGATTTTGCTACTGGGGCTCAGTGAGGTCAGAGTTCATTCATTTAATTTACATTCTGGTTGTGTAGCTCGTCTTTGTCCATATTTGCCCTCAGCAGTTCCTGTTTGAGCTGAAGAACAGATGTGTCCTGCTGAGTCAGCCTCTGCTGCAAGGCATCCTGGGGGAAAAGAGCACACTCACTATTACTGTGGTCCCAATTAGTCAGTCAGCCATTTGTCACTCTAAGCTTTAACCCCCTGACTGCACATCCAGCATTAATTCTGGAAAACTAGGAGACAAAAAGAGGGGTCTTGCTACAAGGAGATGAAGAGGAATTTTCTGTCCCCTCCCGGGATGCTAGCAACCACTGTCTCACTTAGCTGACGGAAACCTGATTTTTCCTCCACCCATTACTCACCCCTACCCGCCACTGCAATCCTGACAGCATGCTGTCCTAGAGAGTCAGTCGCCTCTGGGCTCAGATAGATCTAGATTCAAATTTCAAGACCACCACCTTCACGACAGTGACCATGGACAATGCCTTCTCCTTCCTTCCACCCTGGCTTTCAAATCCATTTCTTGGGCACATAACTACTAAGGAGCTCTTTTCCTTCTTTGCCTTTCTCTAGAGGGCTGGGCCCTACTGCCGCCTCCTACCCTATTCATATGGAACCCCTGGAATCACTCCCACCTTGCCTTCCAGAGCCCTGCTCCCATTGCCTTCCAATTCCTAGTGTGGACTGGGATTGGGATTATATTTCCATGCTCAGAACTATCACTGGGACTGATGGTTTCTCTTCCCAGTGTCCTACAATCTTACCAGCTTTAGGGTGTCTTTCTCTCAACTTGGACCCTCTTGTTTCCTACCAAGCCTAAGAAAAGGTTGGTTGTACACACTTAAAAGGGTCAGCAAGAACACATTTCTCCAACCATCATGACTTCAAATGGAACTAATGGACTGCAGTGTATTTACCCTGACTTTTCTCTCTTTACAGACTGCAAAGAAATGGTGCAGGCTCTGGAGAATGTGAGAGCCCATTCTTTTTTCTTTTTTTTTTAAATTAAAAAAATTTTTTTTTATTTTTGAGACAGACAGACACACACACACACACACACACACACAGAGAGAGAGAGAGAGAGAGAAAGAGCTGGGGAGGGGCAGAGAGAGAGAGAGAGAGAGAGAGAGAGAGAGAGACAGAATCTGAAGCAGGCTCCAGGCTCTGAGATGTCAGCACAGAGCCCGACGCAGAGCTTGAATCCACGAACCATGAGCTCATGACCTGAGCCCAAGTTGGATGCTTAACCTACAGAGCCACCCAGGTGCCCTGTGAGAGCCCCTTAACTGTGCTGTCAGCCATGAAAGTACATGGCAAAGGTAGTCCCAGATGCCCCGGGCATCAGCAGTTCAGAGGAACATTTCCCAAAGTGTGCTCTATGGGATGTTAGTACATGCTGCAGGGGAGAAAAGGCACTTCTGTGGTTAAGAATTCCAAACTCTTGGAGCAGCTGGGTGGCTCAGTTGGTTAATCATCCAACTTCAGCTCAGGTCATGATCTCATGGTTTGTGAGTATGAGCCCTGCATTGGGCTCTGCACTGACAGTGCAGAGCCTGCTTGGGATTCTCTCTCTCCCTCTCTCTATCCCTCCCCCGCTTGTCTCTCTCTCTCTCTCCCAAAATAAATAAATAAACTTAAAAAAAAAAAGAATTCCAAACTCTTTTTACTCCAACCTTTTTATGACAGATTTTCTCAGGTCCTTTAATAGGCTGTTATTCACTGGGACTCTTCAAGCCTACAGGGCATTTCTCAAACTTATTTAAGCACAGAACACATTCTTCTGAAGTATCTCAAAGGACTAAGGCTACAAAACATACTCTGACAAATGCAGCTGAGTTGCACTCTAGTCCAGCCTATGGATGGGAGTGTAGGGACGAGGGGAAAAGCAGCAGCTTAAGAACATCCTTTTCTACTTCTAGGTGTTTCCTCAATAGGCACACTCCCACTGGGGTGAAACAACACCTATTCAAGACTGTTAGCTAGAGCACTGTTTGTATCACCAAAGACTGGAAATAACCTAAAAGACCAACAACAGGAACTGACTAAATTATCATATATACATACACTGGCATACTAAGTGGCCATGAAAGACTTAGGAAGGTCTTTACGTACTAAAACAGAATCATCTCCAAGATACGCTGCTAGATGGAAAAAGAGCAACGTTTCAAGCTGTATGTATGTATTGTATACTGTTATGGGGGGGGGTATATACATACGTATTTATTGATAACTGGTAAGTTACCTCTAGGAAAGAGAATTAGGTGACTGGGGCAGACAGGGCTGGAAGACAGACTTTTCAAGGATTATCCTTTTATACCTTCCTCACTTGAAACCATGTCATAGTATTAACTATTCAATGGGGTGCTGGGCAGCTTTAGTAGGTTAAATGTCCGACCTCGGCTTAGGTCATGATCTCACGGTTCGTGGTCAAGCCCCACACTGGGCTCTGTGCTGACAGCTCGGAGCCTGGAACCTGCTTCAGATTCTGTGTCTCCCTCCCTTTCTGCCCCTCCCCTGCTCACGCACCTCCCTGCTCGTGAATGTGCACTCTATCAAAAAATAAACATTAAAAAAATTATTTAAAATATAGAATTTACTATCCAAAAATGAAGTTAAATTTTTAAGAAGACAGTTTTCTTTAGAATGGAAGAAAACTGTAAAAACTGATTGTTTTTACATATAAAACTACCAGGGTGGCACAGTACCATGGGTCCTGACTACCAGAAATAAGCCTCAACAAAACAAAGGTATTTTCCTCAACATTTCACTTCCCATCCACAAAGCACTTGGCTTTACTAATACCCCACAGCCCGTTAAAGGCTCCAGCAAATGTATATAAGGCCATAGGACCCAACTACCCTCCTACTACCTACTCTCAGCAGTAGACAACTTTACCAGGTAGAGTTTATTTAAAGAGTGAAATGTCTTCCTTTTTACCTTTATCCCCTGTAAGTTTCTGGCTTCTTGTTTACATTTCAGCAGCTCCTTCTGCAAACCAAATATAGTTAGATCAGATGGTAGCGTCTGGGTTGCTTCAGAAGCATTACCTCATTCTGTCAGTAAGAACACAAAACTCAGATAACCAGTCCACAAAAAATTAAGCCTCTACTGAAGCAGAAAGCAGGTCTGCTCCAGTCAGTAGTAAAGGCTGACTCATAGAGACAAGAAGGAGACCTATTCCATTCTTCCCTGAGGTAACCAGGCTCAAATGCAGGTAGAGGAGAGTCCTCCAAGAAAGAAGACACCGTCCATTCCCATAGGCTCTCATTCCTACAGTTAGCACTCTTCACTGTCAGGCAAACTTCATCATAATAACCTAAATCCCCCTTACTGACATATACAATCATATCTTAACACGCCTGCCCCCAATGTCATTTGTTCAGCAAAGGGTCAGAGTGCTTCTGATTCCCCAAGTAGGCATTATTCTTTGTAAACTCAACAAAAACACATTTAGCCCAATGATGAAATACTAATTATCCCTCCCTTATAATATATTAGATGTATGTACATAATTGTCGCTAGGAAAGAGATTTTAGGAGAGGAATACCCATAACTGAGACCCTACCCTCTTCTTTTCCTATTGCATCACATCAAGAGTTTGGAATTAACATATCTAAAATGGGGATTCGTAACATGTGCTCCACAGATGGGCTCCAAAGTTACTCTATTAAAAATTCAAGCCAGCAAGTATGTGTGTATGCACTCATACATATTCCTGGGGAGAGGGTTCATGGCTTTAACTCATATACCTAGAACACCAACAAATTAAAAACCCACTGAACTAGGGGCGCCTGGGTGGCGCAGTCGGTTAGGCGTCCGACTTCAGCCAGGTCACGATCTCACGGTCCGTGAGTTCGAGCCCCGCATCGGGCTCTGGGCTGATGGCTCAGAGCCTGGAGCCTGTTTCTGATTCTGTGTCTCCCTCTCTCTGCCCCTCCCCCGTTCATGCTCTGTCTCTCTCTGTCCCAAAAAAATAAATAAACGTTAAAAAAAAAAAAAAAAAACCCACTGAACTAAAAGCATTCTGGGAAGAAATCATTATAAAAAACCATACTGGACTATAGTTAATAATACTGTATGGTGTAGTTGAAAGTTGATTAAGAGAGTAAATGTTAAAAGTTCTCACTGAAAGAAGAAAATGTGTACCTGTGTGGTGATGGATGTTAACTGGACTTATACTGGTGATCATTTCATAATATATACATATATCAAATTAATATGTTATACACTTGAATCTAATGTAATGTTGTATGTCAACTATAAAAAAAAAAGTCCGTACTAATATTAGATCCGTTTTTAGTTAAAAAAGAAAAATTATGGGGCACTTGGGTGGCTCAACTGGTTAAGCATCAGACTTTGGCTCAACTCATGATCTGAAGGTTTGTGAGTTCAAGCCTCACGTCGGGCTCTGAACAGACAGCACAGAGTCTGCTTGGGATTGTCAGTCACCCTCTCTCTCTGTCCCTCCACCCTCCACTCTCTCCCCCCAAAAAAATTTTTTTTAAAAAAGAAAAAGTATGAAGCATTTAAAACATAAAAAGTAGAACCAATGACACAGATACCTATCATGATCACCAACACTGAAGAGACAGTACCTTTTTGCCATATTTAGGACATATCTCTCTCTTTCAATGAAAGACATAAAACAGACACAGCTGACGTCCCAAGTCTGCATCCCTTCCCCTATACCCATTACTGTTCCAACAGTGCTGTATAATATTCCCATAATTTTTTTCAAAGAGTAAAATGCACATGTTCTGACATACCTTTAGGTCCTGATTCTCCTCCATACTCTGATCCAGACGACTTTGGATTATAATCTGAATAGAAGGCAAAACGAGATGACTATGTAACTATGTTGTGAAATTCAGAGGTCATTTATTCAACAGATATTTCCTGAGTACCTTTCCAGGGCTAGCCCAGTACTATGAACACAGAGGACAGGAAGCAGTCCCTCCCCCTCTAATGGAAGTATGTACACATGCAGTACAAGTAGTGACTATGGGTGAAGTTTACACACGTGTGTGTGTGTGTGTGTGTGTGTACTGGGCACAGGGCATCGGAGAAAAGGCAAAAGTATGACAAAATGAAGTTTGCCTTACAGGTAAGTTATGGCTGCTGTTTTGCAGAAAATGAGTTAGAGGAACACAGGAGAGGAATGAGGAAACCAACTGGAACACTGCTAGAATCCAGGATGGGAGCCTGAGTTAAGGTAGGGGCTGTGATAATGGAGAGAAGTAGACAGAAATATATAGAAAGTGAACTGACAGAACCTGGTGACTGACTAGGTACAGAAAGAAGGGCCAAAAGGATTCAAGGATGATATTGAGATGTCTGCTTTGGGTATCTGGGTGGGTGGATAATGATAGACAGAATCCAAAGGGGCAAGGAGTTTTGGTGGTGGGAAGAGAAAAGCTGTTTAATTTAGGACTCTGAACTGAAATGCTTATGGGACACAGAAGTGGAGATAATCAGCAGGTAGTTAGATGCTGCACATACAAATCCCCAACTCCGTAGAGAGCAGTGAGCCAGAGATAAATACTTGAGAAGCAACATCTGAGTCAAGCAGAAAGTGAGTGCAGCCATGGAGGCAGGTAACACTGCCCAGGTCGATGTCTAAGACAGAAGGCGGTCACCAGTGGAACTCTGAGGGGCACCAACATTTCAGGCATAGGCAGAGAAAGAGAAGCTTCAAAGGGAACCTGAATGTAAGCGCTGTGAGGGTAGGGTCTTAGGTCTGCTTTGAGATCACCATATCTCTAGCACCTCAAAACAGTAGCTGGCACTCAATAAATATTTGTGGACGAGGGATGGAGGAAAGATGGAACAAAGAGTAGTCGAGAAACTTATGAGGAAAACCAGGAGAGCTGGAGTCAGGGAAGAGAGCATTTCAAGACGGTGTGGACAACAGAGTCAAAGGCTAAAAGCAAATCAAATACATAAAGCAGATTATCTGTGGTCCAGTCACAAGAGAAAGAGCTCACCAGTTGTTCCTCAGGATTGACTCCCGGTTCACAGAGGGCCAAGGGCCTGTCCTGTTCATCTTCAGGTAAGGATCCATTGAGCAGTAAGGCCTGAATAACCACAAAAGTAGAAAGAAACCGGACTTGCATCAGATGAATGAGTGCAGGGTTGAGCTTGGTAAGCTTATCCCAAATTGAAATCACAACTGGGCTTCCTCTAGTGATCTCCTTGATAATTTTCGGTCCTTAGATACCTCCTATTGCTCATTTTGGAACTATGGAGAGTTCCTTTTGTCAGTCCCATGCTTAGGCCTCTTTCATCTCTCTGGATGCACCTGGATCCTCTGCTCCTTGGTCCTAGTAAATCTTCAAAAATCTAGAACTTCCCTCTCAGAAGTTACATTTCAAACCACAGCTGCTCCAACTGAACTCTACCAGCTGGAAAGTGAACTAAAAGTAGTGTTGAATTATCCCAGTTTGGAAAGTTTATTATAGGGGCACCTGGGTGGCTCAGTCAGTTAAGCATCCAACTCTTGATCTCCGTTCTGGTCAAGATCTCATGGTTCGTGAGTTTGGGCCCCACATCGGGCTCTAAGCCGAGAGCACAGAACCTGCTTGGGATTCTGTCTCTTCCTCTCTTTCTGCCCCTCTCCACTTGTTTTCTCCCTCCCCGCCCTCTCTCTCAAAATAAATAATCAAACTTTAAAAAAAAAAAAAAGGAAAACTTTATTATAATGAATTACTTAAAACACATTTAGGTATGTTACTCTTGATGTCAAGGTTGCGCGTTCAAGCCCCACACTGGGTATAGAGATTACTTGAAAAAAAAATCTTAATAAAACATTTACAGCACTGACTTGGGTTTGTTTGGTTTTTTTTTTGTTTTAATAATTGTGCATTTTTACTCCCTAGGGCAACCTGTATAGAACAAAAATGAAATCATTTACAGAGAGATGTCCTCATTCATTTCCACTCCCCACACCAGGCTTTGTTTTCATTAGAATATGAAGGAAGGGCAGATTTACCCTAAAGCTAAGGAACCTCAAACCCCAGGGCCCCCCCATATGCACTGCCCCTCCAAAACCCTATATTTAATATTGTACAGTTGAATTTGAATGACAAGAGTCTGAACTGCCTGGGTCCACTTATATGCAGATTTTTTTTTATACATAGTACAGTACTGCAAATATATTTTCTCCACCTTATGATTTTTTTAGAAGTTTTTATTTAAATTCTAGTTAGTTAACATACAGCATAACATTGGTTTCAGAAGTAGAATTTAAATTTTTTTTTTAATGTTTATTATTAAGAGAGAGACAGACAGACAGACAAAGCACAAGTGGGGCAGGGGCAGAGAGAGAGGGAGACACAGAATCAAAGCAGGCTCCAGGCTCTGAGCTGTCAGCACAGAGCCCAATGTGGGGCTCGAACTCACGAACCGTGAGATCATGACCAGAGCCAAAGTCAGACGCCCAACCGACTGAGCCACCCAGGTGTCCCTGGTTTTAGGAGAATTTAATGATTCATCACTTACATACAACACCCAGTGCTCATTACAAGTGCCCTCTTTAATGCCCATTGCCTATCCACCTCCCCTCCATCAACCATATATGGTATCCATCAGTTAAGTCTCTTCTGGTTTGCCTACCTCTCTTTTCCCCCCTTTCCCTTATGTTCATCTGTTTTGTTTTTTAAATTCCACATTATGAGTGAAATCATATGGTATTTGTCTCTGCCTGACTTGTTTCGTGTAGCATAATCTACTCCACTCCATCCACGTTGTGGATGGCAACATGAAGTGCATGTGGATGCAACATGAAGTGTTGCAAATGGCAACATTTCATTCTTTTTCTTTTTTTTTTAATTAGACAAGGTTAAACCAAATGTGAACCATTTTCTTTTAGTTTTTTTTTTTTAATGTTTATTTATTTTTGAGAGAGAGAGACAAAGTGTGAGCAGGAGAGGGGCAGAGAGAGGGAGACACAGGATCCGAAGCAGGCTCCAGGCTCTGAATTGTCAGCACAAAGCCTGATGTGGGGCTCAAACTCACAAACCATGAGATCATTACCTGAGCCAAAGTCGGATGCTTACCTGACTGAGTCACCCAGATGCCCCAAGATTTCATTCTTTTTGATGGCTCAGTAATATTCCATTGTATGTGTGTATATACATGTATACATACCACATCTTCTTTATCTGTTCATCAGTCGATGGATATTTGGACTGTCATAATTTAGCTATTGTTGATAATGCTGCTATAAACGCTGGGGTGCATGTGTCCCTTCAAATCAGCACTTTTGTATCACTTGGGTAAATAAATACCTAGTAGTACACTTGCCGGGTCATAGGGTAATTCTATTTTCAACTTTTTCAGGAACCTCCATACTGTTTTCCAGAGTGGCTGCACCAGCTTGCATTCCCACCAACAATGTAAGAGGGTTCCCCTTCCTCTGCATCCTCGCCAACACCTGTTGTTTCCTGTGTTGCTAATTTTACCCATTCTGACAGGTATGAGGTGGTATCTCGTTGTGCTTTTAATTTGTATTTCCCTGATGATGAGTGATGGGGAGCATCTTTTCATGCATCTGTTGGCCACCTATGATGTATGTCTTCCTTGGAGAAATATCTATTCATGTCTTCCACCTGTTTCTTAACATGATTATTTGTTTTTTTCCTCATGATTTTTTTTTCTCTAACTTACTTTATTATAAGAACACAGTATATAATACAGATAACATTCAAAATATGTATTAACCAAATATTTCTTAGTAAAGCTTATGTGATGACGGAGCCACAGGCAAGCTGAGGGCAAAGCGCAAGCTAACGCCCCGCAAAGACCCCACCCCCACCCCCCGCCCAGGTGGCACATGTGTGATATTCCTCAGGCACTCCTGGGTGCCCAAGAACAAAGGAAAGGAAAAACCAAATAACTGATAGAGATCACAGTCGTGTAGGACAGGAGTCTCCATCAGTTTATAAATGTCTTAGTAAAATTATAAGAAAAAGGCAATTGTGGGGCGCCTGGGTGGCTCAGTTGGTTAAGTGTCCAACTTCGGCTCAGGTCATGATCTCACGGTTCATGAGTTTGAGCCCCACATCACGCTCCATGCTAATAGCACGGAATCTGCTTGGGATTTTCTCTTTCTCTCTCTCCCCCTCTCTGCTCCTGTGCTCTTTCTCTCTCAAAATAAATAAACTTAAAAAAAAATTTTTTTTAAAGGAAAAGGTAACCTTATCATTAGCCTAATGTCCAGAAACCTATAGACTCAGTTTCCTGGAGCCCCAACATTACCCATCCCTCCACAGTGATGTGGGGAACAAAGGCAAGAAGGGAATGGCAGGTAAAATTAAGTTTCCTTATAACCTGCAACCCAGTGACAAATACTTGAGATAGGCTGAGTAGAACGTTTCTCCAGGAACTCCCTCCTGTCTTAATGTTAATGCCTCAGTAGAGGGAAAAACAACCTTAGCTTGACAATAGTTAGGCCTCCAGTATCTTAAGAGTCTTCTTGGGGAACTTGGGTGGCTCAGTCAGTTAAGTGTCTGACTTAGGCTCAAGTCATGATCTCACGGTTCGTGAGTTCCAGCCCCGCATTGGGCTCTGTGCTGACAGCTCAGAGCCTGAAGCCTGCTTCAGATTTTGTGTCTCCCTCTCTCTTTGTCCTTCCCCTGCTTGTGCACGTGCTCTCTCTCTCTCTCTCTCTCTCTCCCTACAACGCGCACACGCACACACCCTTTTTCCTTTACCTCCCCAAACTCCAGTGTGTAATCAATCACTCCTCACAACCCCAGTGCAGCTCTTTCTGCCCAGGGGTTCTGTCCCCGTGCTTTAATAAAATCACCTTTTGCACCAAAGATGTTTCAAAAATTCTTGGCCATCAGCTCTGGACTCCCCCCTGCCCCACACTCCAAAAATGCATCATTATGATCAACAGTCAGCTATTAGTAATTATGTTTTAGGGGAGTCAAAAGTTACATGCATATTTGCGACTGTGCAGGGCATGGGTGCCCCTCCGCCCCACCCCTGAGTTGTTCAAAGAGAACTGTACTCATAGTCTGTAATCTAATTTTTAAAGAAGGCCCCCAAACTGTATTCTTTAGCACTCACAGAACTTGAACTACCTATGCAGGTAGGTAATTTGATACCTGTCAGCTTAGTGAAAGATTTAAGAATGCTTCCCCATTTTATATTTCAATTCTGTCTCTATTCAATCCAAAGAGTTACAGAGGTTAAGTCCTGTTTCAATAAACAGAACACAAATTGCATCACAAATGCTGGGATATAAAAACTGTTTGAAATCCAGTCACTAGTTGGTCTACCAAGCACTAACTAATAATAAGATTTTATTTAATAAATCAAATGAGTTCGGTTATCCCCCGGAGCGTGGCCAGAGGTATAAGAAGACAAGTTTAAGAAGCCACAGGGCTGCAGGGAGCGAAGGGAGAGCAACATCACAGAAATACTAACTCTCATGGCCACGTATTCAGCAGGCTCTAACTGAGGCACACAGTGAGTCAGAAATCCTGGACGTGGCTTAGCATGCAACTTGCTTATCAATGAAAGAGTTAAGAAGCCTAGTGGATGCTGTGAGCCCCATTGTATTCTATTAATGGAACTGAATTCTCATTGTGATCATGTGGCTGTGAATGAAACAACTCTGTTTGCAGGGAATATTGGGATGCTGACTTTCTGCCTGTCGAATCTCTTCTTTTTCTGTCCAACCTGCCATCGGATTTCTCCCAGACTGAAAAATGCAAACCAAACTGAAAGCCAAACTGATGGATATCTATGTTCATATCATGCAAATTATCCTGGGAAAGACCCACTTGGGCATAATCCCAAAGTTAGCACACACAAAAAAATTCCATTAATTAAACCAGCCCTTAATGGAGTGGCAGATAAGGGATCTCAAATGCAAACATTTAAAAAATAACAAAGCAAATGGGGAAAAATCAACAACTCTCCTTGGGAATGTTTAGGCAGGAAGCATTCCTCCAGCCCTCCTCAGCTCCTGGGGCATACATTATGCAAACTGTTTCACCGGGCACCAATCTCCTTTTTTCTTTAGGAACCCTTTGTACCCCATGGCTGGCTACTGGGAGCACGCCCTCCACCGCCTGCCGGCTGCCAGAGCCACTCACATAATGTGGCCTTTGTTTACGTATCCATAAATATTTGACAATTCAGAAGCGGTGCAGTTCCCAGCACAAACAGAAAGGAATATTCCTAGGCAATTTCAGGGTCACCAGCACACTACAAGGGCTCCCCGACACAGGGACAGACGCACAAAGAAAGAGGATCGGGGGTCATTCAGGGTAGGAACTAAGTCAAGTGGGTCAGTGGGCCTCTGGGAGAGAACTGCCGAGCTGGCAAGAAGGTATAGAAAAGACTGAAGGGCTTTGTTGCTTGAGGAAAACCTCCGTTACCTGATCATTATGGCTCGGCACCCGCTTGCACATGCTTTAGGAGGGAGTTAAATCCCTCAGCTAGACTCAAAGGGAGACCTGTGGTATGACTGGCTTACACTCTTCCTACTGGAGAATTCCTAGGGAAAAATTTCTGACTGTTCACAGTGCCATTCTGTGAATGGTGAAGCTGGCAACTGCAGGTCTGCAGCTGCGGACAGGGGAGAAACCCACCTGCTGGCAGAAAGCCAGAAAGAGGGTTTGGTAGGGGTCCATGATGGCCCCCATGCCTGCAGAAATCCCAACAGCCGTGCATCCGTACAGCCCATTTAGGAGTCCTCATACCCGAGGAATGTTCCGCTCTTTGAGTACTTCTCCCTCTGAACTCCCCATTCAACCCTGACCTCATGCAAAACGGAGTCACTGTATTTTCAGTGGACACTGGTGACTTAAATAATCAACTGTCACACCAAGGATAAACCATGCGGGAAAGAGCTACCTGTAATCCTGATATCATTTTCTTTGCTTCCTCCATTTCTTTTTCTAAATGTTCTTGTTGTTCCAGCAGCTGTTCTTCCCATGAGGTCTCCAGACAGGTCCCGGGGCTGCCTGGTCGCCACTCTCGGGAAAACGGAGAGTCTGTCTCCTCTACAAAATGAGAGGGGGGCGTATAGTTCATGTTGGAGCAAACAGTTGCCGGCAGAAAGCGTTCACAGTCTCTCTGCGCTCACAGGTCTGGGTCACTGGCCTTCTGAACCTGTCCTCACTGCACAGACCGGACTCTCCGCTAGGTGGGGTTGTGAGACATGAAGAACCCACTGTTCCCTCACACTCCAGGCTGGGCCGGCTGGAGGCATCACTTACTCTGCTGGGGAAACTGGTCCCCTTCAGAACCTTTAAGAAGTAACAAGACACCCTCCTTGGGAGTCTTGGTATGGGACACATAGACCCTACTCTTAATTCTCTACAACTGACATCCCAAAGCTGGATTCTGCCAGGTACAAAGACAGGAGCTTTGGAAAACCAAATTCCTGTTGGCTGTTGTGGAGCTTCAGGGGGGAGACTTCAATTTAATATTCCTTGGACCGTTCCGTCGTACCTGAGCCCCTTCCACAAACAACACTGTATGAGTCACACAGGAAACAAACCAGTGAAAACACACTTGCATAAATTGTTCAATCTTGCTCCCTGGTTTTGTTTTATTTTCCTATGTTTATGGTCTCTTTTCGCGGGTTTCTGTTTCATCCCATCTAATTGTGTGCACACCATTAAAAATGCATTATGGAATACCGAAGGGTATAAACTCTGAGTAAATGTCTTCATTTGTCGGTGTGAATGTAATTAGCTAATTCCTCTGGGTTGCTGTGAAGACTGAATGAGGTAACTTGTGTGCAGGACTCCGTGGTGCCCGACCCAGAGCAGTCACTCGGTAAATGCTCTCCCTCCCCAAGGTCCCAGGAGTTTCCGAGTCAAAAACATGACTGACTCTTTGGTGCTAATGCCAGGGATAGTGGGAGGGATTTAACTCGTTTTCTTCTGAGGGCTTCAGTTTTATTACAACCCTTAGAGATGAATAAAACTCTATTGAAATCACATGCTTTGCTGCCTCCTTCCTTCCCTCTATGTTTATGTAAGAAAAAGGAGAGCAACTGAGATGTAAGGAGAAGTCTAAACAAAGGGATCCCTTTGTGGTCCTTTCTGTAGTCCAAAAGCCGGATGTAGACCTGCTTTTTAGCCTCCCACAGATACCTCCGCCCATATTATATGCTCCTGGTTCAAACTTAAGTCAAAGGGTTACTGGAATTATTTCCATAACACAGGAATAATAAAAACTGTTTACTTGAATGAGGCTTCAGACTGCCCCACAGTTGTTTCCTAATTCATAGGCAGCCAGCAGAGGAAAGGCCTATCTCCCCTGCTGTAAGATTTTGGACAGCTGTGACATCAGAAGTGACATTCTGCAAGAGGATAACCACATTCACTGGCTCAGAGACATCAGAGCCCTTTAGAGCTAACCTAGCATGCATGGACTTTGGGGAGGGAGAAGGCCAGGAAGTTTATAGGTAGATAGGATCCCCCAAGCCTTCAAGGCAAGGGCTGTGGCTTGAGCCAACCCAGGCACGCTGACAGACAGTACCTGTTCTGTTCTCTATCCCTTCAGAGGGAATAATCACAAAATCTGCCTTCTCCTCCGACTGGGTTATAATGGACTCGCTCTTTGCGCTGTGGATAGGACTGGGTGAAGTCAGGCTGTGATTGAAGGAAAAGGAAGAGAAATGATTACTGTGAACAGCGGTTTGGAAGCCAACTTTCATAATTTATCCCAGAGACATGTTCTTACTCATCTTCCTCCTAGTGCCTAACACAGTCCCCAGCCCACAGTATGAATGGACATTTGTTGAATGAGTGCAGGATGAACTTACTGAAGGAATGAAATGAATGTTGAATGAATGAATGACCCAGACCTAGGAAGTCTTTGCCACAGCAAGGCTGCCTCAAAGCCCAATTCATAAAGAAGAGATTTACTGGAAGGACGGATAACGTAGCATCTTAAAGAACCCCCAAGTTTTGTTTTGTTTTTTGTTTTTTGTTACTTACCATCACCTCCGTCCCTGGGCCCAGGTTCAAAGACTGAAGTTAACGTGTGCCTTAGTAGTTTTGGGAGCTGGAAGGAAAAGTCTACTTCCAATCCATTGGTGTCCCACAGACACAAGCATCACCAGCAGAGTAACATGGTAGATCAGCCCTAGGCTGATCCCGAAGGAGGGGGCAATGCTGAGGGTGATTCAGGGGGAGAAAAGGCCAGAGTGTGGACAGTGCGGGGCTGGGCAAAGGGGCAGTGATACATCAACAAGGATGGGACATGATAAGGAAAACGGGAAAAGACTTGCTCGGCAAAGGGAAGGGTTTACTTGATTGTACCATCAAAGAGTTACTTAGATCCCTGCTACACCATTTGTGAACTGTCATCAGAAACCTCTCAGCAACTCCTAAATTATGATCCAACTATCAGCCTTGGGAGGGACTGCTGGGATTGTCAGGGAAGATGAATTTTAAAGCCACACAGAATAACAGCAAATCTACAAGACAAGATAGGAATGGGAGGCTGATGTTTCCATCCGATAGGGGAAAGGAATCTGAAGAGCCTCTTCTCTTTGCACCGCACCTTGAGAACATCAACTCTGAAACAATCTCAGGGGCTGTGGGGTCTCCAGGCCCAGCCCCCTCTCAGGAATTCTTTCCAAATCCATCACCCGGACAACAGTGAAAGTGTCTAGGACTCGCTGACCCACTTAATGTGCCCCTGAAGTCCCCAGGCTAATCCTCACAGCCATGATCAGGAGTTAACATTTTGTCTTCCTAGAAACCAGTAAAAGCAAGAGCTGAGCACAAGTGGATGTAGTCAGAGATTTCAAAACCTCGAAAGCAGCCTGAGGACTGGTGTCTCGTCCTCCTCGTTGGTCCCGAGTTTGAGGGCTTTGGCGGGAATGACCTCAGCCAGTAATACATTCTCATCCTTATTAGAACCGCAGAAAAAGTGTAAAGTTTTTCCTTCTTCAAATTGAAGGACGTCGCTGAACCCTAACTACAGATCCATAGTCCAAGCAGACAAGAGAAGTAGAGAGTGGCAAGAAGTGGTATTTAGTAAAGGTAATTGCTTTTATAGAACTCTCTTATCCATCTTCCACCATTTAGGTAATCTGACTTCCAGGCCAACATGAATTAGCTGCTGGAAAAGCATTAGTGTACTTTGCTTTTATATAATACTTTTGAGAGTACTATGTCATTTAACAGGAGAACAGAGTTTTGACCAGTCAGGCCGCGGCATTCGCCTCCCTGCAGAAATGGGGATCGATGTTCAGAAAGACGCCTGCATCAGCTGCCCTCCTTTGAGAAACGATAAAAACACTTCCTTAGCTGACAAGGTGTTATGGTTGACGCGATCCGCTGTCTGCATTTGGCTGGACCACAGTGGGTAT